CACCGAGGGTATTGTTGCTGGAAGTTCTGGTTCTAGGGGTGCTGGAGCTGGAGACACAGGCAGTGTGACGCCTACACTAGGTGCTGTATGTCTGAACTGTGAGCAGCATCTACTCTGGCTAAAGAGGGAGGAGCGAGAGTAGTTTCAGAGAGCACGGGAGCAGTCTCAATCGCAGCATTAGGAGAGGGTAGAGGAGGAGCCACATCTACAGCGGCAGAGAGTGGAGGAGGAGTCACAACCGCACCAGGAGAGAGCAGCGGAGGAGTCACAATGCATCAGCTGGAGAGATTAGAGGAGGAGTCACGGCCACAGAAGGAGAGGGTAGAGGAAGATTCCCAGCCGCAGTAGCAAGTACTGTCACAGCAGCGGCAGGACAGGGTAGAGCAGATTCCCAGTCGTAGCAGGAGGTACAGTTGTGGCCGCACCAGGAGAGTGCAGAGGAGGAGCCATTGGAGCAGCAGCAAGGGCAGGTGCCATCGCAGCAGATGCCAGGGGATTTGGAGCAGCAGCAACTGCACGACCTGCCTGACCCAGAACCGGCACGTTAACTTTGTGGTCCCCTACCGTCCCCTCCTGTTCCCCCTGTCCAGTCCCTTTCCTTGTTCCCATGGGCTTGTTGTGCTCCCCTCAGTTGTGCAGACGGCCCGTTTCACCTTGTTCCCTGCTCTTGTGTTCCACCTCCCCCGGTCCTTCCACGGCCCCCAGATCCGTCCCTGACTGTGTCTCACGACCTGTTGTCCGACTACCTCCGTGCCTGCCATCATGCCGTCTCTGTTATAGTCACACAAGGCTTCAAGGTGCCTAAAACGAAAGATAGAGCGCACAGTCGGATTTCTGCACGGCGGCTTTACACGTTCATAGCGTTCTGGTCACAGTTTCAAATGACCTGATTCAACTTGGATCTGGAGCATCTTAACGTCGCCTACTATAGGCAATTTAGATCGCATGATTTCACCTAGTATTAATAACACAACGTTGGTTTAAATGAACGGCACTATGGCAGCCACTATAGTCTTAGAGCACAAAATAGGAAGAGTTACGAGTTGGGAATGACTCCCAGCTCCTACAAACCCCAAGAGCCGATGTATAGTGATGTGGAACGGTGCCACACTGTCCCCAACCAAGAAGGGTCTCAAAACTACCCACCACAAGGGCCTACACCAACTGAAATGTTACACTACACAAAGTCATGTCCTTTTGCGGGCTTCGAGATCACTTGAGTCTGGACACCAAGGCTCGGCTTCTTCATCACAAACTCATCCTTGAGTTCTTGATGGGTCTACTGCACACACTTGCGACACGCCGAACGTTCGACACAGGACAAAATAGAAACCGCGTGAGACACACAAACGACGAAAAAGAAACCGCGCGGGACACACAAAATGACCGCGTAACACGCGACTAGCGATAACTCGCTATTGACTCGACACACACACAATCAACACCATGAATCATCGTTCACACAGTATTATAAGCATGAAATATTTATTATCCCATGCCCTCATACCATTCCATGCACACACATATGCACGCACACGGACAACAAGCCGAGTGCAAACTGTAGGGTTGCACCAACAAACTCCCCCTCAGATTGTTGGCCTTAGGATATTGCCCTCTCAGTTCAGAGCCATCCCAGACAGCTTGTAACACTTCCTATGCTGCTGCTCCACCAGCCTCTTGGTCAGCATGTCAGCCGGCTGCCCCGTTGTCTTCACATACCGCAACTCAACCTCACCCGCGGCTACCATGCTCCTCGTCCAATGCCACTTTACCCTCATGTGCTTGGTGAGGCCGTGCAACACAGGGTTCTTAGCAAGTGCAATATGTTGGAGAATCGAGTCTCTGCCGCCCCAGCCCTTTGCACACAAGGAGCAGCAAGGGGGGAATGTCGGCGACGGATTGAAGGCTTCGCGAAAATTCAGAAACTTCTGCAGCAAATCAGATTGCAGCCGAAGACTCGATACAGTTTGGGATTGCTCTCAAACAGAAGGGTCGACAGTTTCTACAGGTTTCTACAAAACAGAATCAGCTATAACAGTAAATTTCAGAGATTTCTTATTCATGAACCTCATGTGGCTCTCAAGTCACTCAAGGTTCATGGAATCTGAATTGTGCCCAAGTTTCCAAGGAAGTTGCCTTGTCTAGCAGCCTAGCTTGAGCTATCAATCTGCATGTTTGTAATGCTTAAGAAGTTGTGCTTTAGTGGGCTTGTTAATCTTGAGTATAGTGAAGTTTTCCCTCGTCCAGTCAATTCTAGCAGCCCTGCTAAGACTTTCCAGCCAAGTTTCCAGCCCTCCAGTAGTCACAGCTACTCTGTTTTACAAGTTGGTATCAGAGCCCGTCGTTTCGATCAACCAAGCCCGCCACCTTCCTATCCTAGCACAAACCGTCCATGGCGGGAGACAACCCATCTGGCCTTGTACTCCAGCCAGCCGGAGGAGCTTCAGAGTCAACATCAGCAGCTACTGGATTAGTGGATGCAGTTGCACTAGGCAGTCCTTCAACAACATACTCTCTCTGCGCCATGCTGCTTACCCCTGAGGGGGATCCAGACGCTCCTGACATCCCGATCCCTCGCAATCACGCTGAGGCGGTCTCGGGACCTTGGGCCTCGTACTGGATAGCAGCTGAGGAGGCAGAGATGGCATCTTATAGGTCCACAGGCACTTACGTCAACGCAGTCCCACCACCTGGGAGGAACGTCGTCAGTGGCCGATGGCTCTACAAGGTGAAGCGGCCGCCTGGATCACCACAAGTGTTCAAGGCGCGCTATGTGGCGAGAGGCTTCAGTCAGCGAGAGGGGGTAGACTTCTTCCAGACCTTTGCGCCCACCCCGAAGATGAGTACTCTTCGGGTGTTGCTGCATATTGCAGCCCAGCGTGACTACGAGTTGCACTCCTTGGACTTTTCCACCGCGTTCCTTCAGGGGAGCCTGCACGAGCAGATCTGGCTGCGTCGCCCGCCTGGCTTCACTGGCTCTTTCCCACCTGGGACCCAGTGGCAGCTGCGCCGACCAGTCTACGGCCTGCGTCAGGCCCCACGTGAGTGGCACGACACACTTCGCTCGACCCTTGCAGCGCTTGACTTCTTTCCGTCGTCTGCCGACCCGTCACTGTTCGTTCGCCGTGGCTCGACCCCGTTCTTTGTGCTGGTCTATGTCGACGACCTAGTGTTCGCCACTCCCGACCGACGCGCGCTGGCCTCCGTGAAGGAGGAACTGCAGAGGAGACACACTTGCACGGACCTTGGTGAGCTGCAGCACTACCTTGGCCTGCAGATCACTAGGGACAGGGCAGCTCGCACCATTACGCTGACGCAGTCGCATATGGTCGAGCAGATCCTCACGCGGTTTCGCTTCCAGTTCTCCAAGGTACAGCCCACCCCTCTTGGTGTGGATCATGGGCTCACGGCTCCACCTTCGGACGAGTCATTTGAGTCCAGTGGTCCATATCCTGAGCTGGTGGGTTGTCTCATGTACCTGATGACCTGTACTCGCCCAGACCTGGCTTACCCTCTTAGTGTCCTTGCGCGCTTTGTTGCGCCTAGGAGACACCGACCGTCCCACTGGTCTGCTGCTAAGAGGGTGGCTAAGTATGTGGCGAGTACATCAGGCATGGGACTTGTCCTTGGAGGGAAGCAGCCAGTTACACTCACAGGTTACTCGGACTCGTCGTGGGCCGACGACGCGGAGACGCGTCGGTCTACACAGGGGTACTCCTTTAGCCTAGGGGCAGGTGCTGTTTCGTGGCGGTCGACTCGGGCGTCGTCCGTCGCCGGTTCCAGCTGTGAGGCAGAGGTGTACGCTGCGGCCATGGCCGCTCAGGAGCTTCGCTGGCTGTCTTTCCTTCTCACCGACCTTGGTGAGCGGCCTCGCTCTCCCCCAGTCTTGTTCGCCGACAACAGGTCTGCCGTCCTGTTGTGTGAGGAGCCCCGACTGGTTGGGAAGGCGAAGCACATCCAGCTTCGTTACTTCCTTCTGCGTGAGTTGCAGCAGCGTGGTCAGGCACTTGTACGACGAGTGGTCTCTGAGGCCAACACTGCAGATATCTTCACCAAGGCGTTGCCGCCTTGTGCTCACCAGCGTTTCTGCACCCAGCTTGGCCTTGTGCGGGCCCGTCCTCACTTGCTTATGTAGATGCTTTGTCCTTATTGTCTTGTATTCTTGCATCTCAATATATATTAGCTATATACCTGCATGTGAACTGGCCTTGTGGCTCTTTTGCTTGCTCTCGGACTGTGTGGTGACTTTGAGCTCCACCCAGAGATTTGTCTTGTTCTTGTGGACTGGTCTTGTGACCCTTGCTTGTTCTTGTTCTTGCTGACTAGTCATGTGACCCTTGTTTGCTCTCAGACTGTGTGTGTCCTTGAGACCCACCCTGAGATATGTGTTGTCTTTCCCCGGGGGTTACCGTCACCTAGACTATGGGGGTGTGTCAACATATATTTTATATGTTGAGTTTAGGTTAGTCTAGGTGTTGCATTTCTACTTCCTTGCATGATTAGGGTTTGCTATATCTAGGGTTGTACTACACATTTCTAATTCATTCTTTATCGTAACAGCTGAGGGTCGGGCTGTCGATTTCGAGGTCTGGGTCGATGATTTACAGCTTTTCCTACAGTGCGATAGGGCGGACGGTCTCTCTCTCTTTGATCTCACTTCGGGTGCCTCTCCTGCCCCTGCTGCTGATGCTGACGCCACTGTTCGCTCACAGTGGGCCACACGCGATGCTGCTGCCCGTCTTTCTGTGCGCCGCCACTTGCCTACCACTGAGCGTGCGCACTTTAGTTAGTACAAGAGTGCTAAGACCTTGTACGACGCTGTAGTTGCACGCGACTCTTCCCCTGCCACTGCTGCCCTTAGCCGCCTCATCGTGCCGTACCTCTTCCCTGACCTCGCCGCTTTTCCCACAGTTGCTGACCTCATTACGAACCTACGCACTAGTGACATTCGTTACCGCGCTGCCCTACCTGCTGAGTTCTGCGCCAAGACCCCCCCCCCTATGTACATCACCCTCTACTACATAGTCACCCGGCTCCCTGACACCCTTCGCCCGGTTAGGGACCACTTCCTCTCAGTTTGCCCCACCACCCTCACCGTTGACCTCCTTGAGGAGCGCCTCCTAGCGGCAGAGAAGAGCATCAGCGCTGTAGGAGCCTCTCGTGGTGACCCTCGTGCCCCTGTCTTTGATGGGTGCTCCCCCTCTCCCCTCTTGCCCTCTGTTGCCTCTGCTGCTGCGGCCGACCTCGTTGGTCTTGAGTCGGTCGGTGCGGCGTCTGCCCCTAGCGGGAGACGCCGCACTGGCAACGGCAAGGGGGGCAGGGGCGCTGGAGGAGCTAGCGGGGGCGGTGGAGGCGGCGGTGGAGGCGGTGGAGGGGGTGGGGGTGGCGGTGGGGGTGGTGGCGGGGGAGGGGGCGTCAGTGGCGGCAGTGGAGGCGGAGGCGGCGGCGTCGGTGGCAGTGGGAGCGGAGGTGGCGGAGGTGGCTGCGGTGGAGGAGGTAGCGGAGGAGGAGGTGGAGCTGGTCGGGGTGGCGCTGCGCAGAGGGTCGGCTCCGGTGGTGGTCAGCGCCAGCAGCAGCAGCAGCAGCAGCAGCAGCGCACTCGTGAGATCCCTCCCCCTCAGCAGCTTCGTGAGTGGTACACTGTACGTCAGCGGGGTTGTTGGTGCAACCCTACGGTTTGCACTCGGCTTGTTGTCCGTGTGCGTGCATGTGTGTGTGTACGGAATGGTATGAGGGCATGGGATAATATATATTTCATGCTTATAATTGTGTGTGAATGTTGAGTCATGATGTCGAGTGTGTGTGTCGAGTCAATAGCGAGTTATCGCTAGACGCGTGTTACGCGGTCGTTTGTGTCTCGCGCGCGGTGTCTATTTTGTCGTGCGCGGTTTCTATTTTGTCCTGTGTCAAACGTTCGGTGTGTCGCAGGTGTGTGCAGCAGACCCATCAAGAACTCAAGGATAAGTTTGAGATGAAGAGCCCGAGCCTTGGTGTCAAGCCTCAAGTGATTTCGAAGCTCGCCAAAAGGGTACACCTCAAGATATTGAAGATAGTTACATTACTTTGTGTAGTGTAACATTTCACTTGGTGTAGGCCCTAGTGAAGGGTAGTTTCGAGACCCTTCGTGGTTGGGGACAGTGTGGCACTGTTCCACATCACTGTACCTCGGCTCTTGGGGTTTGTAGGAGCTGGGAGTCATTCCCAACTCGTAACTCTTCATATCTCTTCCTATTTTGTGTTCTAAGACGATAGTGGCTGCCATAGTGCCGTTCGTTCAAACCGACACTGTGTCGTCAATACTTGATGAAATTGTGCGATCTAAATTGCCTATTGTAGGCGACAATAATACGCTCCAGATACAAGTTGAATCAAGTCATTGGAAGTTGTGACCAGAACGCTATGAACGTTTGAAGCCGCTGTGCAGAAATCCGGCTGTGCACTCTATCTTTCGTTTTAGGCACATTGGAGCCTACTGTGACTATAACAAGTGGTATCAGAGCCCCTTGGAGCAGTTTCGACAATTGCTGGACCTGAAGAAAGGGGTGGCAGAGGTGCTGGTGGCAGTGGAGAAGCCCAAGCTCAAGGCCAACCCCGTGACTCAGCCATGGCGCCCGTGCAACCAAGTGTTGGCCCATCTAGGGACGAGCCTAGAGTGTTTTGCCTTGACAAGTTCAACAATGACAACTTTGCTGAGTGGTCCTTCAGAATGGAGAACGTGTTTGATCACTATGACCTGCTGGAGGTGATGGAAGGAACGGAGAAGCGCCCCGAGAACGACCCGGAGAAGAGCCCGTGGGTGCGAAAGAGCTCACAAGGCTACCTCCTACTAGGGCAAGCGTTGGGGAGAAGCCAGATCCGTCACATCAAGCCATTCCAGCGTGATCCAGAGAAGGGACCAAAGGCATGGGCTGCTCTCAAGGGTGTACACGCTCCTGCAACAGCGGCGGTAGCTGTGGTGTTGGAACGGCAAATGGCGACGCTACGAATTGAGGAAGATGAGCCCGTGGAAGACGGGGTGCAGAAATTCTTCGACTTGTTGACGCGGCTTGAGGGAGCTGATTTGAACTATAGTGAGCTCCAGAAGAAGACCAAGTTGCTGGCCCTACTCCCTGAGTCATGGTCCTCGCTCATCATCAACCTGAATCCCGAATTGCCCCGCCTCTCGCTCGAAGACGTGAAGCGAGCTATCCTTCAAGAGGATTTCCGCCGTCGTGAGTTGGCGAGTGCGGATGGCGCTGGGGCAGCGAGCATCGGCCGTGGATATAGCCGAGGAAGAGGCAGAGGACGGGGGGGAGGAAGGTTTGGTGGCAGCAACTTCAGGGGAGGCCGCGGGAGTGGCGGTTACGGCAGCGACGACAAGAGCTACGGTCGCGGTCGCGGCCGGTTTGACGGTGAATGACACTATTGCCACAAGACCGGGCACATGTGGCGCGATTGCTTCAAACTCCCTGACGGATGGACCCCTGCTCAAGGCCAAGAGGGTAGAGGAGCAGGAGGAGGGAGAGGAAGAGGCCGTGGAGGCCGTGGCGGTCGCGGTGGCGGAGCTGCAAACATGAAGAGCGGAGACAACGACAAGGACCCGAGCGACGATCGGTACCCGGTTCCTTTCTACTTCGTGTCGACGCAAGTACCGGCTGGTCCAGAGAAGGATGAAGGCTTTGAGGAGCCAGCAGCTGTGGGGAAGGTGACCCTACACCCCCTGGACTATTGGGTGATTGACCGCGGCGCTACCTATAGCATGACACCTCGCCCCGACTTGCTCACCGAACTCGAGCCGTCACCGGTGAAACATGTCACATCGGCTTTGGGGCAGCGAGCAGAGGTGAAAGGCATGGGGAAGGCCATGTTCAAGGGTGCTGATGGGAAGATGGTGGGCCTCAAGAACGTGCTTTGGGTGCCCAGCCTTGCTGCAAACCTGATTTCCGTGCGGCGGCTGGCAAAGGCCGGCATGGACACGAACTCGAAGGGAGCCAAGACCTACACCGCAAGGCTTGGCGAGCGGATTCTATGGGACGTTCACGAGGATAGGGATGTCTACAACGAGATGTGGCAGATCCCTGTGGTCCCCATGCCGAAGGAGAGGCAAGTGGCAGCAAGCGTCAGTACCAAGGGTGAAGCGGTTGGTAGCGGCGATTGCGTGGACGGTCGCGCTAAGGAGAATGAGCTCAAGAAGAGCAAGCCTGGAGGTAACAGCAAGCTGTGTGACCCTAAGGAGAGTGGTGCAGCAGCCAAGGAGCAGCACAAGGGTGAGGAGAACCCCGAGGCAGCAGCGGAGAAGGACAACGGAGAGAGCATGTGGGGCGCTATTGCGAGCGCGGCATTCTCCAATCCGACTTCGGCTACGGGGGAGTGTGATTGGTTGACATTGCATCGGCGAATGGGGCATGTGGCCCTACCTATCTTGCAGCAGCTAGTGAAGAACCAGATGGTTGCTGGCATACGTGTGAAGGGGGAGCCCGATGAGGTGCTTGGCTGCCCGACGTGCATGCAAGCCAAGTTCACCCGATTTCCGTTCTCTAGTTCGGAGGCAACGGCAAAGGCACCACTTGATGAGGTGGTGATGGACGTGGTGGGCCCCCTGAAGCTTGGAGCTGCTGGAGCAGAGTATTTCCTCACCATTGTCGACGTCTACACCCGCATGACCTGGGTGTATGTGCTGGCCTAGAAGAGCGATGTAGCTGAAACATTGAAGACGGATTGGTTCCCGATGGTGGAGCGACAACAAGACCGTCTAGTGAAGTCGATCCGCACCGATCGAGGGGGAGAGTTCCTGAGCAAGGAGTTTGGGTTGTGGCTGAAGAAGAATGGTATTCAGCACTCCCTCACCATGCCATACTCCCCTGCAATGAACGGCATCGCCGAGCGAGCGAACCGCACAATCACGGAGGCGGCACGCGGGTTGTTCATTGAAGCCGGGCTACCCGACTATTTCTGGCCTGATGCGGTGCGCAGCGCGTGTGTGGCCAAGAACAGAGCCTTGACTAATGTGGGAGCAGACAAATGGGTGCCCTATGTGGAGTGGCTAGGAAGGAAGCCAAAGGTGGATATGCTTCGGGTGTTCGGGTGCATGTGCATGGCACTCGTGCCTAAGCATCTTCGGCACAACAAGCTTGGTGCCAAGGCGGTGTGGGCCGTGCACTTGGGCATGGCTCAAAACAGCAAAGGATGGCTTCTTTGGGACCCATTCACCAAGAAGTTCTTGGTGAGCAGGGACTGCAAGTTCATGTAGAACTTCATGTACAAGGATTGGAAGGCGGAGAATGAGGCGAAGATAGGCGTGCGGTTTGGGGAGGTGAAGAGTTCCGGTTTGGAGCATGTGGAGCTGCCTTTGGAGCTGAGCAGCGGCAGCACAACCACGAGGCAATCCTCCCTTGTGAATGGGGGAGAGGAGGCCAATGATGCAGAGGAAGAAGAGGAGGAGGTGCAGCAAGTGAGCGAGCGTGCACCGTCACTCCCTTCCCGTACTACGAGTGCTCCACGGATTCGAGCCACACCGCAGCAACGCCAAGGCCTTCAAGTCCCTGCAGCTGAGGAGGAAGGAAGGGGGAAGAGGAGAGTTCAACCCCCTAATAGGCTCACCTACGATGCACTGGGAAAGCAGGGCAAGACAGCCCTAGCCGGAGCGGCAATGATGGTCGGAGACGACGAGGAGAGTGACTACGAGGAGTGTGCCTTCGCGTTCTTCTCTTCGGTGGAGATGCCGGGAGAACCAGCAACTCTCAAGGAGGCTTTGGAGAGTAGTGATGCTGAGGAGTGGAAGAAGGCCATGGAGAGTGAGCTGAAGAGCATCAAGGAGAACGACACGATTGAATTGGTGGAGCTACCAGAGGGGCGTACGGCGATAACGTCCAAGTGGCTCTTCAAAATCAAGTCGGATGCCGACGGCAAGATCGAGCGCTACAAGTCTAGGCTTGTAGCCAAGGGGTACCAGCAGAAGGAGAAGGTGGACTTCAAGGAGCTGTTTGCCCTTGTGGTGAAGCCGACGACGCTGCGAACCCTATTCGCGGGAGCCGCCAACAAAGGATGGGTAGTAAAACAAATGGACATCGTAACGGCATTCCTTAACGGCATTCTTGAGGAGGAGATTTTTATGGCGCAGCCAGAGGGGTTTGATGATGGTAGTGGCAGAGTGTGGAAGCTGAAGAAGGCTCTCTATGGGCTGAAGCAGGCCCCTAGGCAATGGTACATGAAGCTGCGCGAAGTGTTGGAGGGGATCGGCTTCACTCCCTCAACGGCCGATCACTCCTTGTTCATGCTTGGCGAGGGGGAGCAGAGGAGCTTCATGGTGGTGTACGTGGATGACATCCTGATCTTCTCACCCTCTCCTGACCTTGTGAAGGAGGTGATGCTGAAGCTGCAAGGTGATGCTGAAGCTGCAAGACAAGTTCAAGTGCAAGTCCCTTGGTGACGTGAACTTCTATCTTGGGCTCCACATCGAACGAGACGTGGAGAAGCAGAGCATGCGAGTGCACCAACGGAAGTACCTGGAGGCATTGGCTGCCAACTTCGGCCAGAGTGAAGGTCATGTGGCTACTCCCTTTCCCTCTGGGTTCAAGTGTGTGAAGGGGCCAGAGGAGGAGAGCGTTGGAGAAGAGGAGAGGCGCCGATTTCACTCGTTGGTGGGCAGCCTCATGTATGCGGCGGTAAACACCCGACCGGACGTCTCGTTTGCTACCGGGCAGCTGGCTAGGGTTGTGCAGTGCCCTAATGAGGAGCAGGTAGCAGCTGGAATGAGGGTGGCCAAGTATCTTGGCCAAACACCGACCGTTGGGCTGCAATACTCGGCGGCGGCACAAAGGCGCCAAAAGGGCGCGGGTGGTGTTGAACCCGGGCGTTTGTTCCTCACCACCTACTCGGATGCTTCATATGCATCAGAACCAAAGGACATGACAAGTGTGGGAGGGTTCATATGCTGTGTTGTTGGAGGCCCAACTGCTTGGGAGAGCAAGAAGCAGGTTGACCAA